TTAGCTTGGGCTCGGAGTTACACGGCCCTTTGCGCGGCGGGAGCCGGGGCGGGGGCCGACGGGAGTGTTCCATGTTACGATGCTCCATTTATGTCGCGTGACTGACAATTAAATGGGGCGCTATTACATGAACTAGCAGCCGATCTCGTCGTAGAGGCCTCGGTATATAACCTCCGTCGGCCCGCACACGGCCCAGGACTACAGGTACACGGTTCCCGCCATCGCGGTTCCGCCATCACGAAATGTCTTCGGCGTCACAGAGAGAACCTAGGCTTGCGTATGCTGCGCTGAAATCCTGAACTTCAAAATTGGTCATGTTGCTGACTCGGTTATTTCGGCCCATCGTAGATGCCTGGTATGCCGCCAACGTAAGGTCGCTTGCGATCGACAACGCCCACGATGTGGACTTTGCTCAAAGCATGATTTCGAGTGCGTGTACAAGTCGAGACAGCAACGGCCCGGACTCCGAGCAGGCTACGTATCGCGATTGGAGCAGCAGCTTGGTGAGTCCAAACGGTTTTCGCATAACTGGGTCCTGAGGCCGAAATAGTAATCATCTCCGCGACAGAAGCTATGCAGGCGAGATTGGAACGAGTTGAAGATTATTTGGTGCAGGGTAGCCATAACATGCCGTTCAATATCGAACGCACTACTGCCTCATTGCCGTCAGCTGACAACGGCCAATTAGAATCTGATCCATCTGATCCAGATCTGGCCGAAGTTAGTGGTGATGTCACCCAGGACGTGCTGGAAGCTGTTCCTCAATCTCACACCAATACTCTCGACACTGAGTCCCCGATGCAGTCGGCTACGCTAATGCTCCCTACGGCAAATGAAGTATTCACAAAATGGTTCCAAAGCTATCACCCTTGGTTTCCTATCTTACACCAAGGTTCCTTCCAAGGACTCCCCGCCTTTGAGAGCCCTGACCAGGAACTGGTCTATAAAGCTGTCACGGCTGTGGTGATATTTGACCAGGCGGATAGTTTACCATGGCACCAGGCAAGAGCCTCAGATCTTCGCGATCAGGTCTTACTTCAGGGTCTCGCCACCTCGTCGCTCCAGTCTGTGCAGGCTCTCCTGATTCTATCTAGTCATTTTTACGCCAGAGGCCAACTGACAGGGTTCTGGAATGTTCTGGCAATATGCAAGCGGTACAGCAGTTCATCAGAAAAACGAAGCAGAACTTACTGGCTTTACTAATTTTACGATAGATTGCTCGCTCATCCAAATCTCCAAAGGCATGGAGTAAGCCCTCCTTGTACATATACGTCCAGGGCACGAATGACGCATCGTCATGTTATGAGCAGTAGTATAGTGCAAGAGGAAGCGAGGCGAGCTTTCTGGATGGTTGAGATGTTGGACGCCATTTCGACCCTGGGACTTCCTCATTCTATGCCTTACTCGCCATCACCCTTCGGTGCTAGTCTACCCTGCCTTGAGTCTCAATGGTCGTCTACGCCAACTGTGATAGAACGCTCCGACTCAGAACCGCGGTATGCATCGGGGTTTGCCCTTTGCATCATGCTTTCAGTAGAGGAGCTCAAGGTTGTCCGCGAGTTTCTGGGCAGATCTTATGATTTAGACAAGCTGGATCAGAGACTTGACTGGCAGTCCGAAGCACAAAGGTTAGACGAAAGACTCACGAACTGGCGCGAAGAATTTGTTGCTGCAGTATTTCAGCTCATCAACTACGAGACAGGACATTTGCCTCGAGGAGAAATGGAGTCTTTCTTTACTCTCACCAACTGTATTCTCAATGAGTACGCTGATCATTCCCCATCCCAAAACTTGCCATGAGGTGCCTAACCTAAGCCATCAGGGCAATCATCGTTTTGCTTCAGCAGATGGCGCCCATGCCGAAAGGAATCGAGACGACCTTTGAACATGTACGAACACCTCATCGTTTTCTTTCGCTCCGTACAGCTGACAATTATTTCTTACAGTGGGCATTCGCCACAACTAGATGCACCTACGCCTGTGAAAATTTGACGGCCAAGGTGCGCCGCATAGGAGCAGACCAGCTTGAACGCGAATCGCCTTATCTGATATCACCACTGTTTGTAGCGGCACGCTTCTATATAGGTAAGCCTCTCGCGATTTCTACAGCCTATGCTCCCCAAGACTAACTTGGCGGTAATTGAATCAAGTATACTCCAAGGCACTCGATGCGGATGTCCCCGCAAACCTCCATACCCTGGCCTTCATCCTCCATGCGTGTGGCAAGCGCTGGCCTTTGGCACAACTTTACGAAACCATAATTAGAACTCCTGTAGCAGAACATCGAAGCCCAATATCTGAGTGTGTATTGCCCGTTGAGTTCTACGACTTCCGCTATACTACCTTGGAGATCACAGAGTTGCTTCAAAGTGCTGGGACGAAGTTGACTTAATGTGAAATTATTTTGGGTCATTTAGCAGTGTGGAGGAAAACCTGACTGAATAAATGATTAAGAACACGATGTGGATTGTTTCCACCCGCGTGGTATGACCGGATCATTTATGTGACTCCTTTTCTCGCTGTCTCCACGCGTCGCGAACCTCCAATTGAGATACCCCGCCATGACCAGCTCTTCGGGGCAAGTGCCTCTGGTAAGATCCGCGGAAACTGCAGGGTGACCACGATCTCACACGATTGGTGGTGGTATCGGGTCATTTGCGCATCCCTGCATGAATCCATGGGAAGCGGCGCGGACACGGCCCGTGAAGAACAAGCAGATCATCGACCGCTCCGGCTAACGCCGAGAAAGAGGATTCTGGTCGCATCACTGTCGACAAGGCGTTTTCTTATATCAAACGTCTAGTTGTATTGAGAATTTTACGGATAGGCTGGAGGAAGACATAGGTAAGCTCTACTAGGGCTATCATCAAAGAAGACCGATGCATTGCGATCGCTGACGTTGAACTATTAAGCTTCATATTACACATGGTAAATCCACTTTTTTATCTGGCTGCAGATGACCTTCTGTCGGACTTGACACGGTCCGACGGCGATCGTGGTGGAGTGGTGCAAGCCAGGAACGACCCGTCAGTCTCCCCGGTCAAACAAGTGCTGCAGAAGCCGCGTGTTTTCGAAAATATTAGTGAGTGGCAGAAAGGTACATCTTGAAGGAACAAACAAAAGCGCCGTCCTCAACTCAGTCTTCGCCTGCCGCCTTTCGTTAAAACTCTGCCTCCATAATATACTGAAGCCATCAATCTAACATGACGCTCAAGACACAGCCCGATGTCGTGACAGATGTGTACACTACACAGCTTGACCGATTGGCTGCGAAGGTTCTCCGTACGTTTCGCCGACGTGGACTGAAGGATTTGGCGAGAAATAAGGCTAACAAACAGTATAGGCTTGCATGAACTACATGATCCCAGCAGCCGTGTTATGATTGCGATATCTGGTGTTCCGGGATCAGGCAAAACGACTTTGGCAACAGCCATAGCAGCAAAGCTCCAGAGTGCACAACCTACAGAAAACTTTGTCACTATGATCCCCATGGATGGATTCCATCTGTATAGATCACAGCTAGCAGCAATGCCCAATCCAGCTGAAGCTATCCATCGCCGGGGCGCTGCGTTCACCTTCGATTCGGAGCGGTTCCATCGCCTGGTTCAAGCTCTTCGAGAACCAGTGACCAACGCCACACCCCAAATCTTCGCACCAAGCTTCGACCATGCGGTGAAGGATCCTGTGGAAGACGACATTTGCGTACCAAAAGAGGCTCGCATCATAGTCTTCGAGGGGTTGTATTTGAGTCTTGACAGGGAACCTTGGCGTTCCGCTGCTAGTCTTATGGATGAGTTGTGGTTTCTGAACATTGATCGCGAGTTGTCTCGGGCAAGACTGATAGAGCGTCACGTTGCTTCAGGCATTGTTCCGGACCGCGCGGCTGCGGAGCATCGCGTGTCTAGCACAGATATGTTGAACGCTGATGATATCATCCAAAATCGCCTGCCTGCACACGAATATATTGAGTTCTGAAGCAGACTGGCAGGGCACATGCGGTATGCATTGGCTTGGATGGAACCCAGGTTGTTGGGTAAAAGCTATTGATACGTGCGGAGTGAGGGCTGCAGATGGACAGGTACTCAACAGGACTTTTAGTCAGCCTTGATTTGATCAGTCAACTCATCACATCAATCTCTTCGATGTTACAAGTGCAAAAGTCAGTAAACAATCCAGTACCTAATTCCAAGCACGGCACCAAAACTCTAAATCCACGGGCCGGATTGGGCCCATGTAAAATTAGCTACAGGCAACCAGGCGATCCCGAAGGCCGACCTTTCCTCTTCGCATATTCATCAAGTCTCGTGGCAGATTGGATTCTAGCCGTCACTCAACGGTCTACTGGCACCCGACTTAATGCTCGGTATCGCATTGGACTTCTTTGTGCTGTAGCTCTGCCGATGCCAGTCAACGCAGTGGCTGTCAACACGATTTGTGGCGGAACGGAGCACCATCCGAATCAAGACTAATGCCTTCAGCTGTCAACCGATGTCATGGAGGCTAACGTTCAGCCACTTGAGAGTGAGTCTTTGTTGTCCATGACATACTCTCGGCTCAACCATCTCATACACACAAAGGCTCTTTGTGACAGTTTTACCTGACAGGTGCCTCCCACGTGGTTCTGTTATTCCTGGGGTCTCCGACTGCCAAGTCGGCTACCACTTCTGCCCAGCTGCATGGCGTGCCGAGTCCTTGTTTGTCTCCCGAGTCCAGCGACTCTAACTTGACATGTTCGGCCCTCCGGTCCTTGGCTTCTCTCCGCTAGAGCAGACGTCAGTCCATAACGTGCTCTTTCTTTGTGGCTCAAAGGAACGGTTTGTAGCTTGCAATTCTGTTATGGCCTGACAGAGTCCATCGTCGTAACTTTCTGATATATAACTCTTGAGACGAGTCGCTCATCTCTGTTTCAACCAGCCTTCACAGCCATTCCTTCACACAGCTTCTTCACTCACTTCTTACTAACATTCTTTTTACCAACTCAGCTACAATCACTTTCCAACATGCGCACCTTCGCTACACTGGCCGCCTTCGCGGCAACTGGTGCTGCTCAGCTCCTCACTCTTTCAGAGCTTGCAAGCATCCCCGCTCCCGCCTTGGAATCCGTCCCCATCGGAGTCGGCAACCAGACCGTCGCAGCATCCAAGCGTGATCTTGGCAAGAAGTTGATCGCCCGCGACTGCGGCGCTCTCCCTGTGGGCAGCGGCCCGGTCCCGTCTCCTGACACGGACCAGGCCTTCCTTGCTGACACCGACTTCTCCAACGCCGCCAACTCGGCCATCACTCCTTCTGGCTGGTACCGGACTTTCCAGAATCTCCAGTCTGCCACCTCAGCCTCGGCATACCAAGGCTACAGCACTTATGCGACCTACGATCCTTCTCTCTGCGCAGCAGACTGTGCCAAGACTGATGGATGTGCCGCTTTTAACATCTTCTTCGAGCGCGACCCGACCGTCGATCCCGCCGCTAGCTGCCCCAACCCCAATAGTACAACAGTCATCAAGTGCAGTTTCTGGGGTGTCGGCATTGGACCATCTACTGCCACAAATAGCGGTGGATGGAGAAACGACTTCCACATCGTGATTGCCGGCTCCAATGGATACCAGCTCACCGCCCCTGACTACCCCGTCTCAGGCTACAACGCAACTTTTACCGACAAGGCTACTATCAACGCTCCTTCAGACTGCAACAGCTACATCACATTCAAGTCTCACACCAACAACGCATACGATCCTTCCCTCTGCGCAACTGACTGCGCTGCTCAAGCACAAGAGACCAACCCGTTCAATGGTTTGAGGTGCCATTTCTTCACTAGCTACCTCCTCGTCAAGAACGGCGTCACACAGGCTCAGATCTGCGCTCTCTACTCCCGCACCTGGGACAAGAGCTACGCCGTTAACACTGGATACACCTCTGGCAGCGATGTTTACACCATTCAATACGCTTACTCTTACTCTCTCACCACCGATCCTGGTACTTTCGTTTGCCCTCAGGGCAACTCTGGCTCTTTGACATCTGTTGCTGGCGTCACGAGCAGCCTGACAACTCTTGCTGCCATCACTAGCAGCACATCTATCCCAGCTATCGCCCTCACAACCTCCACCACCAGCAAGCCTTCCACGTTGTCGACATCCGTCAAGCCCACCACCTCCGCAGTGACTGGTGGCTCTTCCAGTACCGGCCCCATCTCCAGCTGCCCGAACCCATCCAGCTATGTAGTCGGCAACAACGGCGGCCTGTACGCAGTCTGCCCCGATACCGACTTCATGATACCCAGTCCTCAGATCTACTACGGCTACACCTCCAACAAGGACTGCGCAACCCAATGCGAAAAGACTTCTGGCTGCACCAAGGCCGTCTACAGGCCCTCCACCCAAATTTGCTACCTCAAGGGCAGCCCCAGCGTCGCCGCTTCCAACTGGAACGTCAACTCCGGCTTCCAGACACTTGTCAAGGTCGCCGATAACACTCCCCTCACCCAGTGTTTGGCGCCGACATACACCGTCACCGTTCTCAAGACTGTGTACACGGTCTGCCCCAGCAGTGACTTCACCAACAACCCTGCCACGGATATTTGGTACGGCGTTCTCTCCGACACTGCCTGCATCTTGCTCTGCAAATTAAAGTCTGGATGCAACAAGATTGTGTACAACCCTTCCACATGGACGTGCTACAACAAGGGCAACCCGTCTCTGTCCAGCGCTGGGTGGCATGTCGACAGCAAGTTCCGCACCATCTATGTCAACTAGAAGAATGGATTTGACTGGAGTGGGAAGCAGTAGTTGTTGCGATAGACATTTTTTCCTTTGTAAAACCAGTACATAAACATAGACAAAAATCTGTATATTCCATTACACATCATCGACCTTCACCATTGAGATGTGCCTCTAAACTGCCGTGAGTCTTGTACGTCGGTCTAAACGTCGGCATAAACTGGTTGAAGCAGAATGCCTCACAAGAAAGTAAAAACTTCAGAGCCAAGTCCAACAGAGACTTAGCCCATTGAGTTTAAGCTGTCGACCTGAAGAGACTCGTATAGTTTATTACTGATCGTCGACGGTCACCGTGCTCGTGCTCAGGGACACCAGCTACGCCTGGCATGGCTCAGTCAAAGCAATCAATAGTGTCAACCATATTTCAACGCTAAGCCGAGCCACATCCGCATTCTGTCCGCTAAGAGACGTCCGCCAAATTCACTACCCCTTTCATCTTTTTCGACACGGACATTCGCTGCCAAAGAACTGTCCCAGAAGCCATCGGCTGCTTCCAAGGCTCGGCGTTATTCGTCGCCGACTGCCCACATCTTAAATTCACCGCAGCCACCGTTGACGGTGCCAGAATTTGAGCCTAAGTTTCATGACTCCTGTTATGTGATTGATCCGTTTATGAAAGAAAGCCTCAAATAGAAGTCTACGATCGGCTTCTCGGCTCTTGAGCAAGCCCACGTGTTTCATGCTAGAGCCAACAAGCAAGATGCACCGTTCGATCTAGGAGATAGACGCTCGTATTTCTTTTGGAAGCTCGACGATGAGATATTGCACCTGCGGTTGACTGGGGTGGGCGGAAGGCTTCCTGTCCGTACGTCATTAGGTAGTTCGGCCCGAGTAGACTTTCAAATAGGGGATCACATCCCCACTCCCACTGATCGTGAGGTTCTCACCGTTGTGTCACACGTCTCTCTTTCGCAAACAACCCGCATCATGGGCCGAACCACACTCTTTTCTTTCCTTTTCCTGTCTTTATCACTAATTCAGACTTCACGAGCCCAACTCTCGAGTTGTCCATCTGCCGAGGAGAACATCACCGCAGCCGACGGCTCTTCCACCTGGGCCGTCTGCCATCAAACCGACTACCAGGGAACAACGACCAAGTTCGTTGACACTGTCGCCACATTGTTTGACTGCGCCCAAGCCTGTAGTCAAGATCCCCAATGTGACAAGGCAGTCTACGACAAGGCCAACTTCGGCTGCCATCTCAAGGCCAAGGATGGTCTCACATGGGCCACAGACGCTCGCTTCACGACCATCAGACTCGTCTCCAAGCTGAGCAATGGCGCACCTATCCAATCTTGCCCAACTGGCGCAACGAACGTCACTTCCTCCGGAGCCATTTTGGCAGCCTGCCCGAACACAGATTATCAAGGCACCACGGTTCGGGATGTTGACGGAGTCACGTCGATCGAAGCATGCGCTATCGAATGTGGCAACGACTCATCCTGCTTGAGAGCCGTTTTCCAAAAGTCAAGCTCGAAGTGCTACATCAAAGCGGAACCGAAAGAACTTCAGTGGGCATACCAGCCTGGCTTCGACTCGATAAGCAAAGTCTCTGTCCTCGCAGATGGTGACGGCATTACCAGCTGCTCAGGTGGCTACTCCAACATCACCACCCAGAACGGCGCTAGCTTCGCGACTTGCAAGAACGCAGACTTCACTGTCCCTAGCGTCAACATTATTGACGGCTGTGCTTCCGTTCAAGCTTGTGCCGAAAGCTGTACCACGAACCAGGACTGCGTCTATGCCGTCTACGATATGCAGAACAGTGTTTGCCACATCAAGGGAACTGTGGCCGCCGCGTCAGATTGGAAGTTCAACCGCCAATTCACCTCCCTACAGATGATCAAGGCTAGCACGTCCAAGGCTACGTCAAAGGTCGGCCGGTGGTCGGATGTGATCCAGTTCCCGATTATCCCCGTTGCTGCCTACGTCGTGCCGGCTCAGCCTTCTTCATCGAGACTTCTTGTGTTCTCTTCATGGGGTGACCGCGCGTTTAGCGGACCTACTGGCATCACGCAGTTCGCGGACTACAACTTCCTGACTGGCGCAGTCTCTCAGCGGACTATCACAAACACGAAGCACGACATGTTTTGCCCTGGGATCAGCTCACTTGCCTCTGGCAAGATCGTTATCTCTGGCGGCGAGAATGCCGAAGCTGTTAGTATATACGACCCTGCTACGAACGAGTTCACTCGCGCAGCCGATATGGTCATCGCCCGTGGATATCAGACGTCAGCTACGTTATCAGATGGCCGCGTCTTCACCATCGGAGGATCATTCACAGGCCCCATTGGCGGAAAGACAGGCGAGGCTTATGATCCTGTCCAGAACAAGTGGACTCTCCTCCAGGGAACCGACCCTACCCCGCTACTGACGACTGATCGAGAGGGACCGTGGCGTGAAGACAACCACGCGTGGCTTTACGGCTGGCGCAACGGTTCCGTCTTCCAAGCTGGCCCTAGTAAAGCGATGAACTGGTACAGCACCAACAATGGCGGCTCTGTTTCTCCAGGAGGCGTCCGCACGAACGTCATGGACCAGATGTGCGGCGTCAACGTCATGTTCGATGTCGGAAAGATTCTTACTGCAGGAGGAAGCCAGGATTATACCGACAGTGACGGCACGAAGGCAACCCATCTTATCACCATCACGGATCCCGGTGTGCCGGCGACTGTGGAGATTCTCCCGGATATGAACTTTCCTCGTGGCTTTGCGAACGCCATCGTGCTTCCAGACGGCAAGGTTATCGTGACGGGCGGACAGCGCCGGTCCTTGGTCTTTACTGACACAGACTCTGTGCTGATCCCTGAGATCTGGGATCCCAAGACAAGGGGCTGGACTCAGATGGCTCCTGCTACGGTTCCGCGCAACTATCACGCCGTTGGAATTCTTCTACCGGACGCTACGGTCTTCGTGGGCGGCGGGGGTATGTGTCCTGCTGCCCAGGGCAGCGACCTGTCTTGGTGTGACCGCGCCAAGGATCACTTTGACGGCGAGATCTTTTCTCCGCCTTACTTGTTCACCGCCGCGGGTGAATTGGCAAAGCGGCCTGTGATTTCGAGCATCTCCGCCACTTCAGTCAAGGTTGGATTCTCAATCACGATTACGCTTGAGGGTGGGCTTGATGGTGCCTCATTTGCGATGGTTCGGATGGGAAGCGCGACACACAGTATCAACTCGGACCAACGTCGCGTGCCGTTGACTGACGTCAAGAAGAACGGGGCTGGCAAGTACACAGTGAAACTTCCAGATGACTCGGGTGTTCTCATTCCTGGACCTTGGTATCTATTTGCATTATCTAAGGATGGCGTGCCTTGTGTAGCTAGAACGGTTTTCATACCTGCTCGAGATTAATTCATGAAGCACCTCTATCATGACGTATGGTGCATATGTTATTATGTTCTAATTTACTTGAAAGGCAGTTACCTTTTGAGGCACCTGTCCTCGTGTTCAACTTATTTAAGAGCAGGGGGGTTGAAGGGTTTATGATATGGCCGCCCCATCTAGTCTCCAGGTCTTCATACATGCTGAAGATTGGCAATCGCATAGTACAAAGTGAAGCGAGGCTCAGCAAGGAAAGCTGGATCCTCAGATGTGTGATGCCGACTCTTTCTGATATTGAGAGATGATAAAAGCATAGTACCCAGCGACTTGGATAGAGGACTGATACCGAGAGATGATAAAAGTTTAGTATCAAGCAACTTTGATAGAGGACTAATATCATTCCTGTGACACAAAACAACAATACCAGGTACTGCCGTTTCGGGGGTTTTGCCCACCATACAACGCCTCAAGGATATGGGCTGCCGCGGGCGCTGAACAGAATAGTTACGTTTCATGTGGTGTGCTAAGATGTTCACAATTTGTGAGAGCCGTTTGTCCACATCTTCAGTTGGAACGCCGGGAATTTGGAGTGGTAGTGAAGGCCAGACTTTCTCGGTCCTACTGCCCCAAACTGACATGAATGGCAAAGGTTTGTCGGGCCTCCCTTGTGACAGTGACTGCAAAACCACGTCATCCTCCATGCCTTGGACATTTTGCGATGACGCAGCTATTTCTTCGCAAACGTGTATCCAAGCCTTGATCTGGCTTTCGGGGTAGTCAGGCAAATGTTTCATGTACTCAGGCATATTTTGCGTGTCCTCGGTCGCAATTTGGGGGGATTCAGGGTTGTCGTCAATGAACTCGAGTGGTGCATTGTCTTCGGAAGATGAACAATTTCCAGTGTGGCTTTGACTCTCAAAGAACGAGTCATTCGTATTGTTATTACTTCCGATGTCATCCGGCGAAGTTTCCGAGTACATTGGCAGCGATCGAAGCGCTAAGAACCTCAAATGCTCAGCGATGTGGGTTTCCAACGTTTCCAACGTTTCAGGTTTGTTGTCTCCGCAAAGCGGGCAGGCTGAAAAAAGCGGCTTTCTGTTGCGAGCCGACACATTGGCCAAAGTACGAAGTCGATCGTCAGTCAAAGTGACCACATGGGTCTCTCGCATGTGTTGCATGTACTCGGTGCGCGACAAAAATTGACAGAGCTCATGGCCAGAAGAACATCTCCAACATTTCGCGTGTTGATTCATGTGTCTTAGCCATTCGTCGCCGTTGCTAAACAATATGTCCTCCTGACCACATTCCTTGAAAAGGCAAACGTAAGGGTGCAGGTCTTTTTGGACATGACGTCTAATCCTTTGTTAGCTACAGCTTGATAGAGGCCATACTTGGTGCCATGACCGTGGAATATGCGATTACACTGGAAATGTACCTACTCCCATTTTTCCTTGATAAAGACATTTTCGGCTGGCAGGGCATAAAGACAATACGGGCAAGTGATCTCGCCCGCTGCTTTCAAGCTTGCGTTTTTCGATTCTTCAAGTTTGATGATACGCTCGCTTGACATGTCTGACCCTCCCAATTTTGTGTCTATGTCGACTTTGATTGCACTCATCCGTTCTTCATGCTCTCGCCTCTTCAAGGAACCC